GAGAGTAAATTTCAGAATGCCTGTTTACATTTTTTTTCTGACACATGTTTATGGTGTAGCACTTTTTTCAACCCTTCTGACTCAGAAGTGGGAGTGGGCCCAAAAGTCTTCTAACTTGGAAAATTCAAGTCTCTGGACATTTTATAAAGAGCCAGATTACATCAATCTGAGTGTTTCCACAACGAAATCAGCTTTGGCAATAGTGTTCTTGCAGTGTCCAGACAAGATTTCAGAGGGGCTGTGGGAGACATCTTAAATCTTTCTGCGTTCTGGTGGCAAAGAGAGTGAGAAGATTAGTCTCACTGCGAGCGTTTGTTCATGCAGTGACACCAAAAGGGATTTCAATCACTTTGTGTGAGAGGCAAGAGGAAGCAGAGAACAAAACTTCCCCTAAAGCCACACGATGTGACCACATTTCCACGTCAAGGAGCAGCTTCAGTAGCCAGCGTGTGAGTGTTTGTGGCAGGGACAGGATTGCACAGGGCTGCTGCTGTGGCTCCTACTCACTTTTCCAGCACAGCAGTAGAACAAGAGTCTGAGAGGGAGCAGAGGAAAGGCCTCTGCTTTTCCTGTGACATTTGAGGACAATTCCTCCCCCTGTGCAATCAGGGGGGTGGAAGGAAGTCCAGGAAAAGGGCAGAGGCCACTCACTGATGTTCCTGGCTGTATTTAGGGATGTGCAAGCTGGTGGATGCATTTCCTGAACAACCCCTTCCAAAATTTGAGTGCTCTGATTATGAACTCCAGCATCTAGTCTTTTTTTTTTCTTTTTTTCTTTTTTTTTTTTTTTTTTTTCTCAAGTGGAGCAAGAAAGAAAGAAAGAAAGTTCTTTCCTCCCAAAGGAAAGTACTGAATCATGTCCAGTACATTTATCCTGTTCACTCCCATCTGGTCATGCAGAATTTCCAGTCTCCAGCAGCTGCTTCCCACCGTGGCAGCCATACACTGCTATAGGCATGTAGCTGCAACCCAACAAACCACCAAAAGAAAGGGGCAATAGTAGGTTCAGCCTTTACTTCCTCCTGCTTTAAACTGGACCTGTACTCTGTTGAAACCTGTGTCTAACTTCATAAAGATGACTGAAATATATAATGTCTTTCTGCCTTATTTCTGTTGCCTGCTTCCTTCTTGGTTATGGTTATGTCATCCTTTTCAAAAGAGTTGACGGTGAATATGCAGTGCCCAAGAGTTCTGGCAGAAGTAAAGTCAGGTTGGCTGGTTTTGCTGTTTATTGTTTTATACCATAGACCTTATTGTCTATGTGCTCTGCATTTTCATGAAGGAAAAAAAAACATTTGTGCAACATCTGCTTTTAAAAAAGTAAAATATGACAAAGCATCCAGATTTCACACAAGAGGATTACATATTGAATTATGGTTGCACTCAATTCTCATGCCAGTTCTTTTCCATTGGGAATTTTTACCTGTGAGGTAGCAGGCCAAATGCATTTTAAAATTTCAATTTAGAGGTCACAAGACCAATCCTATTATTTCAAGCAGTAGAAAAATCAAGAACACTATGTATTAGAAAAGAAAAAAGAGGATCCTGGAATGCAAACCTCAATGCCAAGTACACTTTGTATGGAGTATAATGGAAAAACAGCATTTAAAAACGGAAAGGTCAGGATCTTGACCTGGTTGACTTCCACAAATGGTAAAATATGCTTACTGTGAAAGAAGAGTATGTGCTATGGAGGTATGGGACATGAAAGTGAGAATTAAAAGCATGAAGACAATTAATCTTGCCTTTAGTATCATCTATAAGTAAGGTGAAAAATGTGCAGGTGGAGCACTTACTAGAAGTTTCAAGCTGCTCTGAATATTCCTAAATTAAGACTGTGATCACAGAGAATTACCTTAAGCTTCTGCTATTTTATATTCAAATTTTCTGCCAATTTTTTAAACTAAAGAGGTGGCTCTAATGATGCACACTTGTCAACTGCTACATAGAACAGAGAATTTCTACTTTAAAAGGGAAAAGGCTGCTTGAGCTGTAGTTTAATTTGTGTGATTATGTGCACTTTCACCAATGCAAAACATGACAGAGATCTGTTAGTTGTGACAATGGACCTCAGTCTGTTTACAAGAGGGTGGGTGTCACAATTAAATCATGCATGACGCTGCATCCATCATACCAAATGGAGCCTCTCAGCAATGTATGTTTAATGTAATTGATAATTGAGTCATATTTTGAAATTGAGAACATATCAATCATCCAGTGATTAAGATTAACTTGAAATTGATTTGACGTGATTTTCCTTGCAGCTTCCACGTTAGAATTTTACGAGAATTTCCAAAATGAGTCTGATGACTCGACAGAGAGGGGTTGTGAAGGATGAGTCTTAGAAGGGCTGCAGTGCTCAGTGCTGCCATGCTTGAGAATTCATAACAGCTTTGCAGAGAGAAAGGTTTAAACACCAAACTTGTTATTTTCTGCACACTTAAGAAAAGCACTCTGTATTTAACGATGTCTGTAGTCCTGTGAGTGCCTGAGCACTTACAGGATGAGTGTCTCATGAATCACTGAGTAATGCTTCTGCTCCATAAAGGTGCTTCAATCCATGTGCGAATCTTCTCCTGAGAGGCTAATACAGCTGCCACAAATTCAAGGGTTTGCGTTGGCACAGCTGAAGTGAAAAGAACTTTTTTTTTTGTATGTTCCAGCTAGGTATTTATAATGCTGGTCTGAATGCAGTGTTTGAATGCTTTATAAACAGCATTGCTCTTGCATTCTTACCATAGTAAAGGGGAAAGTATTGAAACTGTTTATTGGGAGAATGATTAAAGTTAATTATACAGCTGACCAGAAAATGGAACACAATATTTAGATGGAATTTTTTTTGTGAAACTCCACCTCTGAATGAGACTATTCTTACAAATATTTACGTATAGCCATAAATAGCCTTGTTACTCATTTGGACCTTGTGAGCTAAACATTTGAACCCCTTTATACTACACCCATGGTGAGGATATAGTTTTTCCATCCTCTGGAGAAAAGTCAGATAGACAAGATAAATCCTGCAGAACAGGAAACAACACAAGTGTCCAGATTATTGCCTTAAGCATTAGGTAGTGCCCTCTCAGGTTTAAAACCATGCCACATAAAAACTGGCAGTAAATTTTATGCCTCTTCATGATGCAAAGACACATTACCCTGAAGAAACTGGTTTGGATGAATGAATGCTTCTTGTAGTATTAAATTTAAGGGTGCTGGGATGGGAGAAGAGCTTATCTCTAGAGTTCAAAGCATGAATGAATTCAGAACCACAAGACATACTGGATTTTCTGTCTGCTTATGGGATTGCATGCCCTGGTCAGAGATAACATTAAATATGTATACATCTTTGTTTTCATTCAAATTGTGTACTTGAGTACTTTGGAGGCCTTTCAATATGGAAGGGGTTTTTTTTTAACCCTGCAGTGTTCTATATTTCTTAACTTCTTGCATTTAACTCTCTAGAAGGACTAGAATTCCGCCCTGGTATTGTAACGAAATATGAGGTCAGATTTGACATTCTGTAATTAAGAAACGAGGTCAGATTTGATATTCTGTAATTAAGGAAAGACATTCTGACCTTGCTGAACACATGAAATGACAACGTGGCCTGTCTTCTACAAGTGCATTTTCCAGTAAGAAGAATTTATAAAAAGGATAAGAACACTGTTTGCCCAGTGTTGGAGGTTTAACTTAACTGCCAACTTGATCCTGATTCATTAAAGACATACATGTGTTAATTGATTAATAAACCAGTTCCACTGTGATCCATCCATTGTAGCTCCTCAGTGATGAGCCTACATCTCACAAATCTAGCAGAAATAGTTAAATTTATATGTATTCACAGAGCAGGTCATAGCATGAAGCTTGAAATATTTAGAGCCACCCTGTGACCCTCTTACTTGCCTCGCTAAAATAGCCCTACTGATGCCAGTGATGCTTCTACTCAGGCAGCTACACCCAACCTGGTGCCTTAGAGAAAGGGTAAATGAAGGGCTGGAAACTCATTTCTCTTAATATCCTTTATGCTCTAAGCCTGCTTTTACAGAGTGTAACCTTTGCAGCAGAGTGGGCCTCTATGTGTAGATATTAAAGGCATGTACAAGAGTATTACTTTTGCAGTTTTTAATTTGAGCACTGAAGGAGGTATTTTGTGTTTGCAGATTTTCATTTCCTTCTGTTGCTATCTCGTGTTATGACACCTTAAACTTCAAACAGATCTATCACCTCGAATTTGTTGAGTTCTTCCACTGTGAGATGAAGCAATGCAGATGCAGTGCAGGTATCAGCTGTGGAGGGAGAAAACTCCCCTCAGTGCTGTGCCTGGGCAGGCTGAGCTGTGTTCCAGAGCAACCATGCTCATCCTGCGAAGGCAGTGCCTGTGAGCAGGTTGGATGTCATGTTCTGCAGGTGGCAGAATAATTAAAGATTGTGCAATGCTGTTATTTGTATCAAATCAGATGGAGTTGCAATTACATGGGAAGGGAAGAATGAAGACTAACAAGTTTCTGAGTTACTGGACCTTTGTAAAAGGCACTTGCATTTAGAATTATGTTAAAGGAGTCAACCTTCTTGTGCTATTAGTAGTGATGGAGATTCCTAAATTCCATGCAGCAAATATCTGCATCAGCCTTTAGTGACAACTTAAAACTGTACTAGAAGCTAAGGAAGGTCTCATGGACAGGAAGATTCTCTACCTTGCACATGGGAAAAAGTTCAAAGCCCAAGAGAAAATGAAGCTACACTTTACAGTGTGTTTTGGGGGTTTTGCAGCTCAGATGATAAAAAACCCGCAGCAGTTAGTTTCACTTCACAGTTAGTGCATGCTGATATGACAGAAATGCATTTGTGGTCAGGGGCAGAAGAGGCAGGGGTGGGGGAAGGTGTTATCTTGTTATCTCAATGAAAAAAAATGCTTGTCTTGAATGTTTGCGTGCACCAGCTTAATGGTATGAGAAATACATAAGAAATGCCTTTTTCACTAATCAACTTAATGACCATTTCAGGGACAAAGAAAACTTAGGTGACATGTTTAAATGCACACACTCCTGAGTGACCTGTTGGCATGAACTAGAATCCCCAGATAACAAAGCTGGATGTCTGTGTTAGAAAACTAATGCATATTGGGTAAGTTGTGCCAGTACAGGTATATAAAATGACAGATTTCTGTGATTTTCTTCAAAAGGCCGCTCTAGAAATGTTAGATTACCAAACATGCTAAAGAAGCAAACCTAAAGAGAGTGTCACTATCTTTTGTTTTGGTGTCAGCCTGGGGGAAATGGCCAGTGGGGGAAAGGGAGTCAATTCTTTGATGCATTTGTGAGAAAGTGGAACTTTTGTCTATTCAAATTCACACAGAGCCTTGAAAGAAAATAGTTTTCATGGTCTTGCTAAACAGAGACAAGACTCACACGGCCTTGCTGTTTAATGCAACTGCAAATGGAAGGATTTTGCTTCTGATTAGCAGTGGTATTGAAACAAAATTTTTCCAAACATTCTTGAAATTTGAAAAAAAAAAAGTGTTCCAGATCTAAAGCCAACTTTGAGTGTGAAACCCAGTCCAAACAGTTACTGCCAGCCATTTTATGCTGTGCTGAAATTGCTCTTCATCAGTGATGCTATACCATCCATTTCTCAGGGACAGCCCTAAGCAGTTGTAGGAAAAGGGCTCAAACTCATGTTTTAAGAATTACTTGTTTCTGTAAAACTAAATCTCTAGTTCTAGATCAGTTGAATATCCAAAGTTACAACTCTGCTGTTGCTGCTATTTTACTAATGCTAAATGTGTGTTTATCAAGGTAACGCTTTTTAAAGGTGGAGAATTAACAGCTTACAGCATATACACCTTCTTAGCAGAACCACACTATGGGGTACCCAAAATCAAATGGAAAGCCTCTCAGGGAGTGCAGTGGCCTTGTATAACAATTGACTGAAATCTGAAAACCAAAGAACTTCTGAAATACAGAAGAACTGTGAAACACACCTAAAGAGTTACCCTTGCAACCAAAAGAGATTTTGGTTAACAACCACATGCATGTAAAATCCTGGCCAATTGTGCTTTGCACTGTGTGTGACAATTTGAGAGGCTCAGCTTGTCTTTGACAGAGGTCCTTTCCTAGACTATCCCTGAATGCTTACTTAAAAGGACGATAATAAAAAATGTGCTCTATTTAATCCTACTGCTTTTTTTGCTCATTATTTGAGTATTTGTGGATATTTCTTGCTTCCCTTCAGGCTTGAAAATGTTTGTGGTGGAAACAGCTGGCTCTTTTACTTCTTGATGTCTACTAATAGATTTCAGCAGCCAAATGCTCACTGACGAGTATCTGCATATTCACTCAACCCCAGCTTGCCCATGTGCAGTTGTGAAGGAAGAAGTAATGTGGAGCACAGGCCTGACCACAGAGCTGACCACATCTGAGCAGGAGCAACAGCACTGTGCCCAAAGACAGAGATGGCTGGACATTTCTGGTCTGCTTTATGGTGATGATTTTCTTAAAACCATTATTCAGAATGTACATGCACATACTGAATGGAATAAACCATTAATTTTCTTTGTCCTTTCTCACATATGTAATGTGTGTTTTCTTTGCTGTCTGCAATAAATTGCAGTCGAATTTATCCTAAATTACATCCTTGTGTTGAGGCACAATGCTTCCCTAGTCTCTGAGGCTACTTACTCTTCTGCTTTGTTTCTTTGCAACATCAGGCTGCATTCCTAAAATGAGCCTTATATGGATTGTTTGCAAATTGAATGGAGTCTTGTTTTTCATCTCACAGTAGCTTTTTGTGTCAAGTTTCTCAAGAAATCTTTTCCAATCCAGTAGTATTTTCTTACTGAGTTTTATCTTCAAACAAATGTCATCTCCAAGATATTACAATGTAGCACCTGTTGCCCAGTAGAAATGCCTAGCCTAGAGAACTTAATTTTTTTAAGCCAATTCTGGAGCACACTTCAGATAATTCACTTTATGGGGAAACACTTCCATTGCTGCCTTTGGTATCTTCAGTAAGCTTGGAGGAGAGAACCGGGAGGCACGAGGAGGCTGTGGTGAATTTGTACCACACTGTAACCTGCCGTGCCTTACAGCCAACTACCTCAAAACACACACACTGCTTCTGGGCAAGGACATAATCCAGGAGATCTTGCAACACTTAATTCCCTAACACAAAGTCTAACTAAATGTTAACTGACTCTGTTGGGTTTTGTGTTTTGGTACCTTTGCAGCTTCAGCTGTCGCACTCACACTGTACAGGGGTGTTGCCCCTCAGGGATTACACCTGAAGCTCCTCGGGTTTTATTTCAATCTGTTCTTACAGGGATTGCCATGCACTCAGGGTTGTTATCTCTCATGGTTACCTCCTTTCCCATCCCTACCAGTTGAACTGGAGAAAGAAAATGCTGCATTACAGAGGAGAATGTAAGTATTATTGTGCAAAGAAATTAAGATACAGCTCTCACAGCAATCCTTTATTCTCCACATTGCAGCTTTAGTGCTAAGGTATAAAGAGCTGTGTTCCTAGCAGAAGGTATGATCGCTGTGCTGGGGGCTGGGAGAGCTGTGACTATTGTGTCATTTCTGTGGGCTTAATGGCTAAACTTAATTGTGGATCGGCTGAGTTTTCCATGGTGAAGAGAGAGGGATGCCATTGCAGCTGGCAGGACTGGGAGACATGCAGCCTTTATCTGTGCAGGGTCTCCGTGCTGCCTGGAGGATGCTCTCTAAGAGCTCATGGACTGTGGTGATGCCCAGAGAGCAGATTTCTCATGAAACCTGGACACCACTTCGGTTTCATCCCCTGAACCACGGTTCCCACCTTAGCAAGCGGTTAACACCAAGAGCAGCTCTTGCCGTGCCGAGCCCACCCGCAGCCTTGCCGGGAGAGCATCCTTTGGTGCCCGCACGCACGGAAAGCGGCGTGGCCGCGCTGGCCCGGCCCGGGCTCCCCCCGGAGCCCCCCGTCCCCCTCGGTGCGCAGCCGTCCCGAGCAGCGGGGCCGAGCGCGGGCCGTGCCCGCGGCGCCTCTCGGCCGGCGCTGTCCCGGCGCGCACATGGCCAGCGCGGGCGGCGGGGGCGCGACGCTGCCCCGGGGAGGGTCGGCGGGCGGCCCCCGCCCCGCACACCTCCCCCGCGCGGGGGGAGCGGGAGGGAAACCCCCAGTTCCGCTTCCTGACGGCGCCGCGGCCCGGGCGGGGAGCGGCGGCCGGAGCGCGGGGCTGCCGGCGCCCATGGCCGGCGAGCGGCGAGCCGCTCCGCTCCGCTCCGCGCCTGCCCGCGCTACGGCCGGCGGCCGACAGCCCCCCCGGCGGCCCGGCATCCTCCCTTGGCCGGTTTTCTGTCCCTCCGGCTGAGCTCGGCGCACGCGGGTGAGGTGACAGCCGGAGCGGGACAGGCGCGGTGCCGGTGTGTGACAGTCACGTGAGGGTCGGTCCGCACAGCCCGCTGTCACCAGCGCTGCCGAGGAGCGCTGCGTGCGCTCCCGGTGATTTCCACTGGAAACCCCGCGCAAGAAGCCTCGAATGGAAACGCAGACCCTGTTCTTCCTATTTGAGTTCGCTTTTAAAATGCACGGCATGAGGCTTCAGGCCCCGTGTCTCGCCATCAGTGGAGTGTTCTCCTCCGTTACATAGGTGTACCTAAATCCTTAGCTGGTAGGCACAGATGGCAAATTGCTAGGGTTCACGAGCCTTTTCAAATCTTTAGGTATTTATGAGTCATTTATTAGCCATTTTGATATTAAGATTGCTTTGGACTTAAAGCTATGTGTTATGAGACTTACATGAGTCTTTAGATGATTAAACATATCATTTCTGTGAATCATTTAATTCAGATAAATATTTTGCTTTTCTAGTTTTTCAGGCAAGACAGCTCATGAAGTAGAGGGAAAGTTTTAAGTGAAAGGTCATCAGTCATCAGTTTACCCCACAGCAGTGCCTAGTTGTAATACATTCTCTCTGCATAAAACAGAAAGCAATTCTGCAAGAGTGTTCCCATAAAGTTCGTGGGCATTTTCCATCATCTGAGGGTCTTGCCCAGTACAAATGTTCAGCTGTGCTAAAGCGACTGCTGGGCTTAGACACAGCAGCCACTTCACAGTTCCTAGTTACCTCTACATCAAATCTGAGTTGTTTTCTTTACATGACTAGATTTGAAGTGCTTTTACATTCAGCTTTGAAGGTCTTCATAAAGTATTCCAAAACTCCTGATTTTTGAAAACTTAGAAGAAGTTACATGTCTCTCCTGACTTTCCACAAATGTTGTGCATGCTGTCAGCCTTTGTCAAATCCCAAAGCATCCCTACAGCTGCACCACCAACAGATTTACATGGTCCCACCTGCTGGGCACAGAGATCAGAATTTGGCTCATTATCAAACAGGATGCACTACACTGATGGAGTTTTGGTGGAAACACTCAAGGAACCATCATGATTGGTTTGGGCTCTGACCAGACACTGTGCTGAGTAGCTGTCCCCTAAGAGTCTATATTTCAGTTCAGGTACCAGCTAAACTATTGTATTGTCTCATTGCATCTTGGAATATTATAAATGAAGTTTTGTTAGCAATGTATTTTACTCTGCTGTGCCTTTGCAGCAAGAATGCAGAAACAAAACAGAATGAAACTGATGAAGCAAATCTGAAATTGATCATCTGTTTCCTTAGAGGACAGTGGTGTTTTTCATGTGTTGCTAACAAATCTTAGACTATCTTAATATAGCATTTAATTACTCCTCTTGTATTCAAATTGTATTTTATTCAATCTGTGTTTAAAACATCGCGACTTCAGTTCTAGGGTGACGAAAATCATCTGCCACTTCTGTGAGTCTTCTGTGAGACTTCCTGTTGACTGATGAAACACACTGATGCTGGATTTCATCAGGGCTTTTGATGCAATATCTGAGGCAAATACAGTCAGATCTGAAAAGATGGTCTTTGAAAGATACTGAAGTTAAAATGTGAAGATGCCAGACCGAATTCTGGTTTCAGTTATACCACTCAGTGGGATCACTTAGGGACTTCCAGATGTGTTTGATTCACCAGCAGGCACAATGGTTCTGAAGTCTGAGTTGCTTGCTGTGTTGAATATGTAGGGCTCTGGGGAGCTTGGTGAAGTTACCCTCTTTTTACCATATTTTTTTGGGTTGCCAGTAATGTTGCCTCTGAAAGGCAAAGTTTTATAAAATGACTTATGCTGGGCGTCTCATGACAGAGTACAGAGCTGCTCCCTTCAGGGTTAAATCTTCTCTACCTACATCAGCTAGACTGAGCAGAATTAACCATTGTATCTTGGCTGACAGGCAGATCTCTTGGCAGATGTGCCAGGTTGCAGTTTTGGGGCTGCCAGGTGGAGCTGTGGTGGTCTGTCCTGGGCAGTGATTGCTGCCTCTGGATCTGTAACACAGGATGCCAGGGTGGCAGCTCTGCTGAGGTGTGCTAGTTCCCTCTAGCCTGTGTGCCTTGCACTCAGGGATGCTGGGATGGCACAGCCATTGCAGTAAGGCTGTGTTTCTTTTGTAAACAAGTTCCACAGAACCTGAAATTTCTGGCTGAATTTCAACTGACATTTTGTACCAGAAGTGAATATTCCCACAAGAAAGAAAAATTGGGTGTATTCAGTGAGGTCTGTTGGTTCTCAGCACATCTTGCTCTTGATGCATCAGCACCTTATATTCCAGTTATACTAAATCTCATTTCTGTTGGAGTGTCCTGAAAGTTGGCTCAGCTGCTGTCAAAACTCTGCAAATAACTGGCAGCTACAAAGGAGGGAAAGCATAAATGTGTAATGTGTAAAGAGCAAAGAACTAAGCCTTCTGGTACTGCTTTTGTGTATGTCCTGTACTGAGTTGCAGCTGGACTTCTGCTGGTGACTTTTGGACAGCACCTGCTCTAGGTGCAACCCTTCAGTTCTGCAGGAGCATAGGGCTCAAATGTCTAAACTATCTCAGAAAAAAGTGTTGTGTCTTACAGCTCTTTACTGTTTTCATATAGATTGCTGCTACTTTTGTGTCCTTCACCTTTACTTTTGCTCATTTATTTATGTAATAGTTACTAGTGTTCAGCACACAAATCTGTTTGAAAAAAAAGAAGGTGCCATTATAATCAGGAAGAATGAGTTGGCAGAAGTAAGGATGTTTGTCATTTGGTGTTGTATAAGAGAGGAACTTCTGCAGTGCCCTGAAAGATAGAAGTGGAAATAGAGATGGAAGGTGGAATATATATGTGTATCTCACTGGTAGGGGGTAGTAACTGCAGAGTTTTGGCAGAAGTAACACATTCTACATTAATTACCCAGCTCTTCAGCAGGTGGCAGGAGTGGTGCTATCAGGTGTTAATGGTGTATGGCTGCACTTCAGCTTGTTTCCATTGCCTCCTTAAGCTTTCACGTAATAATGGCAATTCACCAAACTAGCTGGTGAAATAGATCAGCATCATCTAGAAGGTAAATAATTTATTGTATTTTGAAACTTTGATGTGAAATTC